AATATTTAGAACGAGTGGTGTGCAAGTGAATTATTTTATCAGTGAAAACCCAGTTTTTCGAATTGTTTTAAAATTCAAGTAAGCCTCATAAAAAAATTTTCAGAGGCGTGGCTCCTGCCCGTTTCCGACCTTCAGGGTTATAGGCTCACTGAAATGTTGAAAAGTATCCCAAAAATTCTTTTCGAAAAGCGCGAAACATTAAAGAAACAACAAAAAATCCCCTCCACTCAAACAAAAATGCTAGGATTGCCCCTAGCATGATGTTATATAACCATGATTCTTGAAGGTATAATTTTTAGACAAACAATATAGTATCTAATCTAATGCGAATGTTCCAAGTCATCTACAGCCTGCTATTTTGGATAGAGGTAGTATTTTATTAAAGTCTCGGCGAAGCAAATGCTCAAACGCAAAAGTAAAATTTACACAAAGCATATATCAAAGCGCAGCATAGAAAAAGGAGGAGAGGAAAGCGCATGCATTTTTTCGATCTGATTTTCCTCAGTAGGCTAATTGATTGCAAAAACAACAAGCAGTTGCGAATAAGTCAGCAGTAATTTGCACAATGGCGCTTCCTCACCTTTGAAGCTCTTTTGCGTAGCACTCGCGATCTGTGTCGTCTGCGCCATTTGTTTGATGACTTCTTGTACCACAACTCGATCATATATGCCTACCTCACTAAACATCAATGATGAATTACATCATAACAAGAATGTCTATGCGAACCTACCCAGGATTGATCTCGATGTGATAATTGCTGCTTACTGTATCTATCTCAATTTTACGATTAGAAGGTGTGGTAAGCGACTTTTTATCAAGACGTAGGCGTTCCGCTCCAGCACCATATAACTCTCTGAACAAAAGCAGTACAATCAACTATTTTCTTGATTTTTGACTACCTCAGAATGCAATGGATTCTCGTTCGTTTTCCCGCGCCAGTAGGCCCATAGACTAGAAGATGAGGGAAGTCTTCTGTTTTCACCAGTTCGGCTAGATCACAAGCCTAAAGTAGGATAAAGAACGCAAAATTTACTAGAGCAGTTAAAAAACGAACCTGTTCCAAATGATAAGTGAGCTCGCTCAACTTCTTTGGACGATATCTGTCTACCCAAAGACTCATATTATCTCTAAAATTTACTAATCGCCATTTTTTGTTCCTACAGCTTCACCGCTAAAGATAAGCAAAGTCCTCAACACTTTCCAAATAAAAACTACTGAGCTAACATCACTCATTTATTGAAAGCCCAATGATATGTAAGATTTTATGAATAAAATGTGAGATCAGTTAAAAGGAAGGTATATTATTCCAGTGAGTTTCGATAAGTGATATCAAATACGGTCTTAAAAACCATAAATTATCAAATAACAAAATTATATTCCTAGGATTGTACTCAAGAGCACTGAGAAACAGCTTACAATGGTTGTAAGTTGGGGTATGTAGCCTAAGCATGATTAGACAGATCACTGTAGACATGCGAAAATGATGAAATAGAAACGAAAGGATAAAACAGGCACGCTTCATTACGATTCTTTAATTAAAGTGATAAAAGTCATATCCACTAAACTATCACTTCGATCCAAGCTGTGTCTCATACTGCCTGGTCTCGCACCTTCACAAAGCTCCTTCTCTATCAAAGACTTCATGATGTCTTCCACGCTTGAGTAAAGTCACTCTCATAATGTTCTTCATTTGCCCTTGATCATCCAATCCTTCTTCGTAGTCAACTTTAACATTATAAGTGTTAACCATCATCAGGCAGGCAAGGAAGTATCGACTAATTTCGTAACGTCTTCTGCCATCCATCAGCTGGAATTCGCAGAGTTTTGTTGATTACAAAATAGATATGCCAAGAGAAGAGGCGGTGGTACAATGGGCCGGGTGAGTGAGATGAAGTGAATTCTTTAAAGGCACCGTCCACCTTAAGTTGGGAGTTTTGAGTTTTTGGCAGCTTTTGATAGTAGGGCTGGTAGCTAGTTGATAGTAGGGATCTCTGTACAGCTAATGCTCAAGTTGT